CAGTGGACCAGCCCCCTGCTGAAAGTTTGCTGACCCCTGGCATAAAGCATAGAGACACAACCTGGACTAAAAAAATAGCAACCACAAATGAACAGAAAACAAATGCAGCATGGTTGGGGCAGAAGAGGCTAATAATGATATAGGCTGCAGGACTAATATAGCAATTGTTATAATCATAAGTGCTTCGGTAGGATATATGAGAGATTGTTGCACAAGCAGGAAAAGACAGCTTTACTGGAATCAAATTATTTACATTGGGGAAAGCCTGCATGCAGCACAGACAATTGCGCCACGCTCTGTCATAGACATAAGCAACTGGGAACTCACAGCAGCCCTCAGAGCTTCTCTTCAGACTTTCTCGATTGCAGTCAGCAATCCCAGGTAGGCCTTCTTATTGTGCAGCTCAACTACCTCTCCTCAGATAAGCAGAGCCAAAGGTTGTATGTCAAACAACCCCCTACTTCTTTGATCCCATCAGAACCAAACAGGCAACAGGAAGCCCTCCTAGCTATGCACCTCAACCAGGGGCTTACCTAGGGCTTGGCCGGGTTGGCATGGGTGCTGCAGAATCAGGGGAGACAGACAAAAAGCTCTTAACTGCTCACTCCTGCACTTATGCGAGCAAGCCATTGGTGTGTATAGAAAGGACAAAAGTTCTACCCAAGCCTCTACTGCAGGGGTCAGCAAACTTTTTCAGCAGGGGGCCAGTCCACTGTCCCTCAGACCTTGTGGGGGGCCGGACTATATTTTGGAAATAAAAAATGAACGAATAACCCAGAGAGGCATTTTAAATAAAAGGACACATTCTGCTCATGTAAAAACACCAGGCAGGCCCCACAAATAACCCAGAGGTGCATTTTAAATAAAAGGACACATTCTACTCATGTAAAAACATGCTGATTCTGGGACCGTCCACGGGCCGGATTTAGAAGACGATTGGGCCAGATCCAGCCCCCAGGCCTTAGTTTGTCTACCCATGCTCTACTGCTATTATTCTCCTTGGAGACCTTTTCAGGACCAAGGACCATAACTGTCAACGTTTCCCATTTTTTTTAAGGGAAATCCCCTTATTCTGAATAGGATTCCTCGCAAGAAAAGGGAAAAGTTGACAGCTATGCCAAGGACTGTATTGGCACCTTCCAACCTCTGCAGAGAGGAGGGCCTACAACAGCATGGGCATGGCCAAAAAGGGTGTGTGGTCCCCAGAACAGCTTATTGCCTGTGTCTTGATTGACACAGAAGTCAGTCAGGGAGTAGAGCAACTGTATTGCTGGCTTTTCTTCCCATCAGAATATATAGTCCCTCTGAAAAATGAGTTGCCACCTGACTGTTTTTAAAAGCCTGTTCACAAAAGTATATTTTGCCATTTCTCACAAGCATACTAACTTGGGTTTTCTTTGGTGGTTATCAGTAGACAATGTTCTGTAATGATGGAAGGACCCTGTATTTTCTTTGCTCTTTCTCCCCCCCCCCCTTTATTTAGATTAGCTTGGTTTTTTTATTGTATTGTATGGCAAAAAAATTCAATAAAATCTATGGGAGGCAGAGAAGACCCTGCTCTATATCACAAGCTGTTTCCAAATGGGCAGGAGTGGCTGGGGAAACCCAGCCAGATGGGCGGGGTATAAGTAATAAATTATTATTATTATTATTATTATTATTATTATTATTAATGATACAGCATCCTCTCCTGCAAAGCTTAATGGGGGAGTGTGGGGCCATATGGGGAGAGGTACTTTTCAACAGCTAAATTATGATTGTACATTTTTAGTGAGAATTTGATTGTTTTATCTTTTTTTGTAAACCACTTTCAGGGTGTGTTTTTTCTAGAAATGGTATATAGTTTTTTGTAAAATAAGAAATAAATGCGGATCACACTGAGTTAACAGGCTTACACCCAATTAACTGTGCGCATTATTGCATCTGAAATATATGCAGCATACTCATAGTCTCTGTATCTTCAAAGTGTTGGAGATGAAAACAGCACCTTGAATTGTACCTAGAAAGTAACAGGCAGTCAATGCAATTTCTACAGAACCACTTGAATATGTTATTTTCTCTCTCCCACCCCCCCACCCCCCGCCCGCCTGCCAAAAAAGGGATCTTGGTTAGAGTTAGAACTGTTTGAATCTTCAGAGCAGCCTTCAAAAGCAGCATTAGATCACACTGCAGTAGTCTGTATCTGAGGCTGCACGCACATGTATAAAGGCAATCAGGTCTGTGTTTTCCATAAGAGGCCCACCCAGCATATCAGACATGACTGAAAAAATGCATTATTGGCTGTAGACACTACTTTGGATTTCAGGAATAGTGCTAGATCCAGGAATACCCTAAGCCTGGTGATCTAGTCTTTCAGGGCTGCGTGGAGTAATGTATGCCACCACTAGACTTTTATGTCCCAATTATATTCTGCATTTCCAAAACTAAGCCTGCAATTCTATGCATACTTTTCCTGGGAGTGAGCTCCATGTGGGGCTTCATATCTGAGTAGATGCTATGACTGCACTGCAAGCCTCTCAAAATGGCTATTTCCCCCAGAGCCATTGGCTCTCCACCATCTGCTTCATCTTATCTGGATTCAACCTTTGCCCAATTCACTAGGCCCCCAGACAAACACTGGTTCAGAACACACTGCTGCTGCCCTTGTATTAGTTGAAAATAAAACACAGAGCTGTATATCATCTGCAGCCTACACAGAATTCCAACGCTCCTGATATTTCTCTCAGGGGCTTTTGATAAACAAAGGTGACAGGACTGGAAAATGGGAAAAGAAAGGCAATCTGATTTATCCACCCATAAAAACATATGAGGCAAAAGTTATCTCACAAATGGTTTATGGGGCGGGAGACCATGGTAATTTGACCCTAGCTGAAATGGCACAAAACACCTATTTATGAGAAGGCCTTTTTTCGTACAGTCCTCCCTACAATGCAATACCCCCTTCAACAGAGATGTGCAATTTCAATTTTATTAATTAGATTTGTGCATCACCCTTCATCCGAAGAGCACAGGGAGGTTCACAACAACAAAATACGAAATGAAAACACAATTATACTACCCCAAACTCCACAACAGGGGCTTCAGACAAACCCACTTGCCCCAAGGGGAGCGGAGAAGCTTCAAGGCAGACAGTTGTTTGTCTTTTCCGTTTTTAGTGTATACGGTAGTTTTTATTGGTGCTTGTTATGTACTGAAGTTCTCACCCTGGGCCAGCAGGGGGATACTGTAGGTAGTTTTCACTCAGGTCCACATATGCAAATAAGGGATTGAAAGTAACGTTCAGTGACTGAATAGTTACAGAAAGTGGTTACAGTTGCGTTGTAGTGGAGCTCTATATAAGCAGGCTGGCTGAACCCTTCAGTTCAGTTCTGTTCTGGCCTGTGAATAAACAAGAGCTGTTTGAAGAATCGCTGTGTTGTCTGATATGTTCACCCACAACTTAACAGTGCTAATTATGATGATACATTTTATGGAATTTCACTTCTATATGAGCAATACTGTATAATATTGTTTTATTGGCATCCGTCTGTCTCGATAGAAAATGGGAGTGCGCCTCTGGGGTTGAAGTAAATTTGCTGGAGAATCACAACACCCAATGTGGCTGCAGAGACCTCACGGATGTAGTCCAAAGGAAATCAGAGCAATATGTTTCGCACCAGCTTGGTTGCAGGGGTTGCCAGAGGGACGCGTACAAGGCACCATCCAACCCTCTTAGGGACTCCAGCCCGGATTTGTGTAAAGTTTACTCCTTAGCCTTTTCTTCTCCCAAAGATGTTCTGAAAGGTCTGGACTTTTCCTTAGGGTTTATTCCCAGAGTCTTTCCCACAAATGTGTGGCAGCAGATGTTTAGGATCAGTTTTCCTTCTCCTAGATGGGCTACCTTCCCAGATTGACGAACCCCACTTGCCCCCTCATTTCCCTCTACAGCACATGCAGAAACTGCTTTGTTGACTGTTGGACCCAACATTGGTCTCGTCCATTCAATTCACTGGAGCCTGTCTTTGAATGCAGAGGAAGTCCCCAGCTCAGCAAGGGTTTGAGCCAGTCAGGGAGTAGAGCAACTGTATTGCTGGCTTTCCTTCCCATCAGAATATATAGTTCTGTGAAAAATGAGTTGCCACCTGACTTTTTTAAAAACCCGTTCAGATAAATATATTTTGCCATTTCTCACAAACTTACTAACTTGGGTTTTCTTTGGTTGTTATCAGTCGACAATGTTCTGTAATGATGGAAGGACCCTGTATTTTCTTCGCTTTCTCTCCCCCCCCCCCTTTATTTAGTTTTTTATTGTATTGTATGGCAAGAAGTTTCAATAAAATCTATGGGAGGCTGGGAAGACCCTGCTCTATATCCAAGCTATCCAAGGGTTTGAGTCAAAGCCATTCCCAGGGTGTGGCCGCTGTTGCATGCTGACAGCTTCCAGGAGCCACAGGTGAGAGCTAAGGAGCATGTCGTCCACCACAGATACTCCTCCTCCCCAAATGCCCCATATATCCCGTAAATACTGCACACAGTACAGTGGTACCTTGGGCTACATACGCTTCAGGTTACATGCACTTCAGGTTACAGACTCCGCTAACCCAGAAATAGTGCTTCAGGTTAAGAACTTTGCTTCAGGATGAGAACAGAAATCGTGCTCCAGCAGTGCGGCAGCAGCAGGAGGCCCCATTAGCTAAAGTGGTGCTTCAGGTTAAGAACAGTTTCAGGCTAAGTACGGACCTCCGGAACGAATTAAGTACTTAACCCGAGGTACCACTGTATATAAATACTATAAAATAGTATACAGCTACTTTCAATGAATACATTTCTGCTGCATTTCATAACAAGCATTAGCAGAGCAAGGGTTCTTCATGCTATTCCTGAGGATACTTAGTCCAGAAACTGTTAAGCCACTAAAACCCAAACTGAATATGTGGTTAGACACAGGATATGGCAGTTCTTCAGACATCTTGGCTGCTCCCCCCCCCCTGCACCCTCCCTAAATTTAGACACAGAGTGGAGATTTCATCATGCATTTATATCAGACTGGAAGCAGACATGAACTGAGAGCTGGCTCATTATTTGGTTCAGGGCCGGCCCTATGATGAGGCAGTCAGGTAGGTGCCTTAGGTGGCAGATGCTGAGCAGAGGGGAGTAGACAGAGCTATAAGTGCCACAAGGCCTCCCTGTACCCCCTACACTAGCCTGCTACCCTCGAAGTGCAGTGAAGGATACTGTCATTTCATCTTCTGTATGTGTGTTGGAGGAGGGCACCATCTTCTCCGTTGCCTCAGGCAGCAAAATGTCTTGAACCAGCCCTGGTCTGAGTGCTCTTCAAAGTACCATGCACACTTCTACTGTGCTGCCCCATTCTGGGAGACTCCCTCCTGAGCTAAAACTCTCCCACATGAGAGGTGCGTGAGGCTGGGTGTCGCACCGTGAGGGGCATCCCCTACCTGACTCTGCTGCAGGCAGGGGGTTATATTCTGATTGGCTGCCAATCACTCCAAATTCAGAGTGCATACCCAAAATGGCGTGGGTGCATCCGGCATGTGGAGTGAGGATCTGGTTTTCTGGGATGAGGCCCAGGCCATTGTCTCTTATGGTAAGTATCCTGAGGCACCACCCTTTCGCTGGGTGTGGTTTGCGCCTAGTTACAACGCATACCCTCCAACATTTGTCCGATGAAAATAGGGACGCCCTAAGGAAAAGCGGGACATTTCGGGATCAAATCAGAAACTGGGATAGCTTCTGTAAATTCGGGGCTGTCCCTGAAAAATAGGGACACTTGGGGGGTCTGACAATGGTATAGTAGCAAGCTGAGCAGGAATTGGACGTGTTATATGTCCTTTGACCTGCCTGACCTTCTCGCTGCAATTGTTGGCTACTTGTATATACTCTTTCTTCCTGATTTCTCCTTTATTCCATTTCTTATACGGGCCCTTCTAAAATCTCAGCTCATCTGCATGTTTCTTATTATTCTGCAGCCACGTCAGTTTCTTTAGATGCCTCAGACTGTTCTTTCTACAGCCTGTAGTAGTTGGAAACTGGATAGGCAGGTAGCATCTCGAGAAAACCCACGTCCCTGTTTCTGGGATACTTGCTGTATTTAGGGCATACGGTGCAATCACATGGAGTGGCTGGAGATGATTGGGTGCTGAGGCACTCTGTCTGTGTGTACTGCATGGATTGGATGTGCTGCTAACACAGATCACCCCTAAGTTAGGCACACCCTAAACACCGTGCCAGAACAGACGTTGCTGATGTTCTTCCACTGGATTTGATTAACCACAGACTTGTGCAACACATCATGCTCTTTGCTTGAGGTGAAATTAATAGACCAGCGTTGTGAGCCGTACAGGCCAATCTGATGCATATTTATTCAAAGTAAGTCTGTGTAATTCAGATATACTTGCTCCTCAGGTGGGTGTGCATACGATCACAGCCTGTGTAAGATTATGAAGAAATTAGAGCCTTAAAACAAAGAAGGAAATCATGAAGGATAAGATTATCAGAGGCTGCTATCTCTAGCTCAGAGGTTGTCTCTGAATACCAGCTGCTAAGGGAGGAAGGTTATTGCCTTCCTATCTTACTTGTGGGCTTCCCATAGGCATCGGGTTAACAGGATACTAGACTAGTTGCTATAACCTTCAATCAGATCCTGCAAGTCTCTTCAAGGAGGCTTAGTTTGGTCAGACTCAAGTAAAATAAACAAATACATACATTACTTCTGGTAAATGAGCCACCATAGCAGCTAGAGGTCTGTGAAAAAATTGTGTACTGGGCTTTTTAGACTGGTCTACTCATGTATTATCTGAAACCAAAGGGGCACATTGGTTGCCAGATGCGATTCCCGCCCCCAGGTCTCCTACCCCACTACCAAGACTTGTACACCAGAGAAAAGGAAAGTGTCTGTCTTGGGATGCTTACTGTCTGATAACAACCGAATTGGCAGCTTCCTTATGCTCTGTGTGTTCAACAGCAGACAAAACATTTCCTGATACATAACTCAGTTTAATATATAACTTGGTGATCATAATGTTGAGAAAAGCTTCACTTAGTCAAGCCTGCAAGTGGCTTCTGTTAAAGATTATAAGAACTGGGCTAGTTTGTTTGTTTTTATGTGGCAATCCTAAACTCTCACCAGGTGCCCCAAAAGATAGCACTCCTATGCCTTTAATAGTTCTGTAGAAAACAGAATGAAGAGGCAGAAATCTCAGGAATGATCTGGATTGATGATGAGGCATTATGATGGGGTGGAGAGGAAGGAAAGAAGTGAGAGCGAGCCAGTATGGATTCACCAGAAGTGGCAGTTTAAGCCTGTGCAGCTTTCTTCACTTCCCTGCATGAGAAGCTGTACTAAGTGTCTTCTTTCTCACAGCTACTGAAAGTGCCCAGGTCATCTTACAGCTGGAAGGCAAAAATAATGTGGAATGCAGCACAATGCAATGATGATCAGGGATGGCATATTGCTTTTTCGTGTTTTGTACATCACCCTGAGATCTAATATGATGAAGGGTGCCATATAAATGTTTTCAATAAATAATGTTTTAAATGAATAAATCCTTATATTTAATAGTTATGAAGAAGTGGGGCTTTTGATGGTCCCACAAACACACTCCTGCACTGGACTGATACATCACAACACTTTGGGGAGGGGGTCCTGTTGGATATGGAATCAGGACCTAAAAGAAGGAGCTGAACTGGAGGTGCTGGTGTTCAAAATGAAATATTCTTTAAAGCGGCCAAGTATGGCTGATGGTGCTCTGGGGAAAGACTTTATAAACCAAAAGAGCGACAGCGAAAGAGAAGGAAAGAAATGAGGCGGCCTTAATGCAGGGAAGATTTTGACACATTAAGAAGGCTAGAACAGACTGTTCTGTAGATGTGTAGGGTATCATCTCAAATGGCTGTAGTGCAAAATCTGATAGGTATGCCCCAGGTCCCTTTGCAGTACAGTGGTGCCTCACAAGATGAAATTAATTCGTTCCGCGAGTTTTGTCGTCTTGCGATTTTTTTCATCTTGCGAAGCACGGTGTCGGGTAAGTTTTAGAAAAGCTTCAAAAATCACCAAAGTCTTTAAAAACCTCAAAAAAGGCTACCACACCGCGTTCTATGAGTTGCTCCTCGAAGTCAAGTCGCAACTGTATTAACGGTGTTAAGAAAAAGGAAACAAACTTGCAAGACGTTTCCGTCTTGCGAAGCAAGCCCATAGAGAAAATCGTCTTGTGAAGCAACTCAAAAAACCAAAAACCCTTTCGTCTTGCGAGTTTTTTGTCTTGCGAGGCATTCGTCTTGCGAGGTACCACTGTATTATCCCCCTATAAATATTATTGCTGCCCCAGACAGACAACTTAGATTGCTTGGCCTATCAGGGCTGCCTTTCAGAGAGACTGCTGGTTATGCTGATGTCCTTATCTACATGTACAGGACAGGGACCAGGGACTAAGGCTTTCTGGCATGTGAAGTTCAGGCATCAGGTATGCCACATTAGCACACCCAATCTCTACGTACGGTAAGTCCCCTACGGGCAAGCCCTTGTAATTCAAGTGACTATCATATTATGTGAAGCCCAGGTAGTTTCTGTACCCAACAGTCTGCCATCAAACTTTGGGGAACAAAGTTACCGTAATTGCTTCTTTATGAACAGGCTCTGAAGATTGTGGGAACAGAAGGTATGCTTCCAAAATCCCTCAGGCTTCACCCCCTGTATTTTACAACTTTGGAAGAGGTTCACACCACTTTGAATAACCCTGAAAAAATCATCGTAGTTGGCATCCCGAGTGGCCCTATACAGAGACTATGTCTCCTGTACTTTTACCAAATGTATAAAAGGTAAAGGGATCCCTGACTGTTGGGTCCAGTCGCAGATGACTCTGGGGTTGCGGCGCTCATCTCGCTTTACTGGCCGAGGGAGCCGGCGTACAGCTTCCAGGTCATGTGGTCAGCATGACTAAGCCACTTCTGACGAAGCCAGAGCAGCGCACGGAAACGCCGTTTACCTTCCTGCCAGAGCAGTAACTATTTCTCAACCTCACCCCGTCGCGGGGATTTGAACCGCCGACCTTCTGATCGGCAAGCCCTAGGCTCTGTGGTTTAACCCACTGCACCACCCGCGTCCCTGTATACCCAAATGTATACAGGAGGGCATTTCAGCAAGTGCAGTTTCTCATCTTTACCTAGCCTGCTGTCCTTGCTGATGTTCTCTCTTCTGCATAATTCCTGTCCTGGGTGTCTAGTGATTCTATTTGTTGTTTATTTTTTTAAAAAGTAGCCTCAAGAGAAGTCATACGGAGCTACATCGTAGTTAGCACAAGAGCAAGACTACATCATGGCTAGCACAAGCTCTCAAAAAGGAGGAATGGGGAACCTGTGGCCCTTCAAATCCCTAACCATTGGCCAAGATGACCAGGGCTGATGCGAGTTGAAAGTCTAACAATATTTGGAGGGACACAGGTTCCCCATCCCTGCTCCAATGGAAGGTAGACTTGATAAGACTTACAGTCCCTCTGAAGAAACAGGTATGTAGCTTGACATTACTTCCTAGTCTCTAGGAAATAGGGGACTTACTCTGTCTGAATACTCACTAAGCCACAAATCTCATCAGACACAGCTTTGAAAGCACATTCATTATAAAGAATCATATGGAACCATATACCTGTGATCATAATCTGAGGCCTTTCTTCACGTGCTCTCTTCCACTGAAGGTCTAGAGGGTGCAACAAGAGAATGGGCTTTTTCAGTGGTGGCTGTCCACTTTTGCAACGGCGCACCTGGCACCATCATTACATATCTTTAGGCGCCAGGCAAAACCATTCATTTTTAATTGGGCCTTTGGCTTTTACATATCTATGGCCTTTTCGCATAATGTAGATTTTTTAAAAATTGCTGGTTTTACTTTCTTTGTTTTCTTGCTTAAAATATTGTAAGTCGCTTTGAGTTGCCATGAAGAAAAATGATTTATTATTATTATTTATTAGACTAGAGACATTTTGCGAAAGGCAAGAGGTATGAAGAGAGAAGCCACTTTCTTTTTGCACTGTCGAAACCATCACTTGTGGGACTGTTCTGGGGTGGTTGGCTCATCTGCATGGTGACAGCTGACAAATGAGTGCACATTCATCTCACAAAATGCACTGCATCCATCAAAGTGCTGCCAGTTGCCTTCGTGGATTTGTTATTACCAAGGGTGAGCTCTCCATGTCTCCACATTCACAGAGTGCTATAGCCATCACTTCCGTGGGTCATCAGTTAGTGTGCACTTACTGCAATTTTGACAACTTGCTAAGACAGCAGAGCTCTAGTTGGTCAGCTGCCCTCGTAGATTAGCTATACAGGTAACTCGCAACCTATGTACATTTAATTTACATGCTTTCAGGTTTACGTACTTGGCAAAAAAATAAAAAATAAAAAGGGGGCGGAAAGGGGACAGGCATCCAGGAAAAAAGACTTTGGCAATGGCTATTGCCATCGAACCCAATGTGTTTCGACTATACACATTTTTTGCTTTACACACTATCCCTGGAACATAAACCCCCACGTAAATTAAGTGGTGGGGTTGTGGGTTAAACCACAGAGCCTAGGGCTTGCCGATCAGAAGGTCGGCAGTTCGAATCTCCGCGATGGGGTGAGCTCCCATTTCTCGGTTCCTGCTCCTGCCAACCTAGCAGTTCGAAAGCACGTCAAAATGCAAGTAGATAAATAGGTACCGCTCTGGCAGGAAGGTAAACGGCATTTCCATGCAGTGCTCTGGTTAACCAGAAGCTACTTAATCATGCTGGCCACATGACCCAGAAGCTGTATGCCAGTTCTCTCGGCCAATAAAGCAAGATGAGCGCCGCAACCCCAGAGTCATCTGCGACTGGACCTAATGGTCAGGGGTCCCTTTACCTTTACCTATACAACAAAGTATTTATTTCTTCACAGTATAGGTTTGTAATATGGCTGGTCTTGTATGGCCACACCATCCTTTATACCCACTGCAAATCAATAAAAGCTCACCTTATTTTAAGCTAGGCTAAGAAACTAGCACTTGAATTTTAAGTATATGCACATACAGAAATAATGAGCTGCTACACCCCTTTCTCAGAGTATCAGTAGGTGGCGCTATAACCAAACATGTTGAAACCTACTGCTCACCTATTTTGCCATACAGAAAAATGGTACCCACTGAGCTATTTCTTCAAGAGGGATAAAAACAAAAGATCTGGACAAATCACTCACTCCTGGTTGTGGCTGTATTCCTGAACATGAAATTTTAAATACAGCAGAGGAGGGTTAAGGCCTCTGTTTTTTGCTTGCACTGACATACTGGCTAACCATAAGAGTTATTTTGCCCACCGTTGGCAGTTGGCTAGTGGCTGTTATATTGTTGTCGTCTGTCTCGGGAGGCAATGGAGGAGTGCACCTTTGGCCTGCTGGATGCTTGCAGTGCCTGCTGTGGTTGTAGAGGGACATGTTTTGTTGCAATTGTAGAGACGTTAAACAGCTGGGGGGGCGGAAGAAAAAGCTTTAGAAAAAGTTTTTTTTGTTATTGGCATTCGTATATCCTAAGAGATGAAAAGCTGTTTTCTAACAGGCTGCAAATGCCAATAAGAGTGTTTCTTTGCTTTGGTATTACAGATAGTGTTCCATTTCAGCCAAAATGGTGCCTTTTCCTTTCAGAAGTTTGGCAGATGCAGCTATCTTTGCTCCACCTGGGAGGAAAGTGTCTATAGAATTTCTGCACAGCCTTCAAAGCAGGAAAGGATAAACCCTTAGCCAGTCACTGCCACAGCATACATTTAAAGCATAAATTTAGGGTTTTCCCCAAAGAACCTGGGAACTGTAGATAGAAACCAGTTTGTCGTCTTCTCCGTTTGACCAAGCTACACCAAGCTTGTCTTGCTCTACTAAACCTGCGAACAGAACAGCCACGTGCCGTGGTTGGACTCCAAGTCAAATCAGCCCTGGCCACTAGGGACAATGGTTAAATACTATGGGTTGCAGCGCAGCAACATCTGGAGGGACACAGCTTCATACGTTGTGGGGTGTGAGGGAATAAAATATGCCTGTAAAGGGAAACTTTAACCAACACTTCCTTGTCTTTGAAACATGGCTTTCAGCTGTTCCAACTTTCCCTGTTGCAAGTTATTTAGGAATCCTGCCTTTAAAAGATGCAAGCATTTCGGAGTGGGGAGAAAGACTGCACTTTGGAACTCCCTGCCTGTTGAGATCAAGTAGGCGCTTTCACCGTGCTGCTATTTTCGGCGCCTGCCAAAAATCATTCCTGTTTAGGCAAGCCTACTCGGATGCTAGGAAAGCTGAGGTAATCTTAACCCGTTTTAGTATCTTAACTTTTTTTTATGTTTTAAAGCAAGGTTGTGAATTCCCGCCCCCATTTTATTGTTTCATCCTTTTGTAAACCGCTTTTGATTTTGTTTGTTTTTGCAATCAAGCGGTGGATAAAATTTTATGAAACAAAATTGTGAGATGGCGGTGGGGGGGGCAGTTGAATTTCAAAGCACTGAAAACTATTATCCCCCCCCAAAAAAAAAAAATTTAACTCCTGTGTGATTACACTTGTTCTTCTACCTGCGGATGAGGACCTGGAATATGCTGTCTTCCGACTTCGGACAATTTAATTTTATCGACCGGCTTATTCTCTCCCCCCCCCCCCCCGTATAGTAATCTCACAACGGAGGCTCTCTAGCACATAAACGGCAAAAACTCTATGCTCAGATCGTCACTTCCGCTTCCGGCCAACGCAGGAACTCTTTGTCGGTCGTTGCCGGGAACATGGCTCCCACCGTGGAGTCGGCGGTGGGTCCTGGGTCAGCGGCCGAGCTCCTGCTGCAGAGACTAGAGCTAGTAGGAGCCCAAGGCGAAGCGAGGCTCTGCAGCTTGGAGGCGGCTGCGGCGCTGGGCTTGGACCACCAGGTGCTGGTCGGGGCCGTGAAGAGCCTGCAGTCGTTGGGGGAGGTAAGTGGGCGTGGCGGTCTCTGGCCACGCCCCTGTGAGCCGTCGCGGGAGTGGCGTCATCCTTACCTGCCCTCGGGAGGAAGAGGGACGCTTCTGCGTACCTCAGGCGGGGGAACAGGAGAACTGCGCATGCGTGCTGTCCTGTGTTCTCTTAGTAGTAGAGCGGCGCTCTATGGCTCCTTTAAGAAAATGACAGGGGGAGGAGCGTAGGATCCCCACAGAGTTATGAAAAGGGTAAATGGGCACACTCCTTTAATTCCTTTTTTGAATGGAGGGTGTGTGGACTTGGCTTTGCTTTAACATTTCCCTGAGGCGTGAAAGCGAGAGTTGCAGTGTTGTATCCCCAAATTTCAGGTTAGGCTTGAATCAGCAGCCTTTCTCCACCTTGGGTCTTGCTCCCCATATGTCGTTGAACTACAACTCCCAGCATCCCCAGGTAGCAGGACAAGCAGCTAGGGATGATGGGAGTTGTAGTCCAATGTCAGGACGGGCACCCAAGGTTGGGAAAGGCTGGTCTTGAAAGCAAGCCACGTGTTCTGCAGTTGCTGCTGCTTCACAGGCTGGGCCAAAACAGAGAGTAGAGCCTTACTTCAAAACAAAACAAAACAACCAACAGCCTGATGTTGCTCTAGGGGGCTTGCTTAGTTTGGTTAGAATCGAGTATACACTTCCAGAGTTAATGCTAAATATATTACTTCTAGTAAGTGAGCCACTATAGCTGATGGAGGGTCGTGAAAATTTGTGTCCTGTGGACTTTTTAGACTCATCTACTTATGTACTGTCTGAAACCAAAGGGGTGCATTGGTTTGCAGGTGTGTGACACACACACCCCAGCTCTCCTACCCTGCTATGAAACAGTATGGAGTAGTTGATAAAGTGTAAGATTTGGACTTGGGAAAACCAAATTAAAATCCATCCACAGCTATAAAGACTAGAGCAGAGGTGGCTAATCTGTGGCCCTCACAGGTTGCCAGACTCGCAACTCTCATGAGCTCTAGCCAACATACCCAATGGTCAGGGATGGTGAGATTTGCTGTCCAGTAACATTTGGACAGCCACTGGTTGGCCATTCCAAGCCTAGAGAGCAACCCTGGACAAATAGATGTTAGCCTCTATCAACTTGACAGGAGTGTGAGGATTAAAATGCTCTCTTTTTGTTAAATGTCTTTCCAAAGTGCTCCTTCACAAAGTTTCCACTTGTCCTCTAAGATAGTCATGTCCTACAGCAGAGCTTTCCAAACTGTGTGTCACGACACATCAGTTTGTCAACTGCAGTGTGTAGGTGTGTTGTTCAAAAACTCCCTGTGCTCCTCCTGGGACTGGAAAGGGGCTAGTTTGACCTCCGGTTTGCTAGTAAAACTGAATTACTGTGTCGTGAAATGATGGTTATTATTATTTATGTTTATTGTACTTTATATTGTCGCTTTATAAATTAAAAGTATCTCCAGGTGACTTACAAACAATAGCACATAAATTTAAATCAACGTAAGTCTAAAACTGAGTGAAAGCTAAAAATACATTCATGTTTATAACGAGGCAGTACTTACACATCCCACCTACTGAAGAAGGCCACAGAAAATTAAAGACCAAAAAAAAAGGTTTTTGCCTGGTGCCTAAAGATAGATAGTGATGGTGCCATGTGTGTCTTCTGGGGAGAGCATTCCAAAAGCAAGTTCAGTCTTGTTCTGACTGACGAGCAGTTTCCTAAGAAAATGAAATCCTAGTAAAGACTTTTTTTGAAGGCTTGCTAGGGAGAAATCTCAGTGGTTTATCTCAGCATTGATGTGGGGGGCATTGAAAGCACCCTAAAATCTCCATCTCTCAGCTGTGGCCTACTTTCACTGAGGCAATAAGACTGTGTCTGTGCTGTTCCATTTCAAGGCTGCAAGTGTATTACATGATGAAGTATGATAACATATGACGAAGAAGGTATTCCTAGAATTTTTCTGGCTGATATGCTTGTTTTTCATGTGCAAGGATTATTGATTGATTGCATGGAAAATCAGTTGCCATGTGAACCCCTAGCTACAATCTGAAGTGATTTAGCACAGGCATATGTTAGCCCTTTCAGCAAAACTAGGACTGGATCAGGGTGGGGTTCTACACAAACAAATATTCCAGATGGACAGTAAAAACCAATGAGCTGTAAGATAATTGGGGTCTTTTCAGATAGGACCACAGGTATTCAGTTGTCTTTCAAATACCTCCTTATAACACTCCCTTTTTTCTGCTTCAAGCTCCAGCCCCCACCTCCTTTCAGACCCTTTCTACCCTTGCTGATGTTCTCAAATGTCCTCTCTAGGTGATTGAGGCTGAGCAATGCACATCCAAGAAGTGGGAGCTGACACCTGAGGGCAAAGAAATTGTCCAGGAAGGGAGCCATGAAGTTCGAGTGTTTAACAGCATCCCCTCTGAAGGCTTGGTGCAGAGTGAGCTGATGGTAAAAGTTTACTGAGGTTATCTTCCCTGTGGGCTTATTTGATTATGTGACTTTTGGATACCTGACAGTGTCATTTTTTGTTCTTTTCACTGTAGAAGCTGCCAAGTGGAAAGGTGGGATTCAGCAAAGCAATGTCCAATAAGTGGATCCAGCTAGACAAGACCGCAGAAGGTGGACCCCGAGTCTTCCGGGCGGTGGGTAATCCTTACTCCTTATCAGTTTGGGTTTGGGTCTCCGCAGGGTTTGTGTCAGAAAAGGGGTTGGACAGTGCAGATGAGTGTTGGTTTCAATCCAAGGATGTTGGGATGGGGAAGACGGCATCAGGGCTCTGAGGTTTCCTTTTTTCCCCTTCTAGGTGGAGACTGTGCAGGACTCTGTCAGAGAGAAGCTGCTGCAGGTGGAGCAGGGTGGGGGTGACAAACTAGAAGAGAAGGACAAGAATGAACTGAAGAAGCGGAAACTCCTGGCAGAAGTGTGAGTTGAGCCTCTGTCATCCCACTCTGCATGGGATGATCTATGTTTTCAGAACTAATTTCACCCTTTTGCAGTAGAAATGTTCTACAGTCTCAATGAGCAGATTAGTTCATTGTGCATTCTCAGGGTGTGTGCTTGAACATTGGAAAAAAATTTCCTGTTTGGAAAATGCTTTGCAGTTTCCTCATTTATTGTTGCTTGCATTGCCAGGAGGGAGCTAAGACTCTGTGTGTGTGTGTGTGTGTGTGTGTGTGTGTTTGTGTTTGCTTGTGTCTGTGTCTGATTGGACCTATATCTGTGTTGGGATTTGAACCCACCTCTCTAACATTCTATGCACTAGACCGCAGGACCTCTTGTTTACTGTGCTTGTACAGTGGTGCCCCGCAAGACGAATGCCTCGCAAGACGAAAAACTCGCTAGACAAAAGGGTTTTTCGTTTTTTGAGGTGCTTCGCAAGACGAATTTCCCTATGGGCTTGCTTCGCAAGACGAAAACGTCTTGCGAGTTCTTGCGAGTTTGTTTCCTTTTTCTTAAAGCCACTAAGCCGTTAATAGCCGCTAAGCCGCTAATAGCCGCTAAGCTGCTAATAGCCGTGCTTCGCAAGACGAAAAAACCGCAAGACGAAGAGACTCGCGGAACGGATTAATTTCGTCTTGCGAGGCACCACTGTATTTCAAAACATGTTTATATTTGCTTTCAGGACCATTAAGACATACTGGATCAGTAAAGGAAATGCTTTCAGTACCACAGTTACCAAGCAGGAAACGGACCTCACTCCAGAGATGATTGCCAGGTAAGGAACTGTTCTAGTCCTTGTTTAAAGTCGGACTAACAGGGGATCGAGGGACGCGGGTGGCGCTGTGGGTAAAACCTCAGTGCCTAGGACTTGCTGATCGTAAGGTCGGCGGTTCGAATCCCCGCGGCGGGGTGAGCTCCCGTCGTTCGGTCCCAGCTCCTGCCCACCTAGCAGTTCGAAAGCACCCCTAAGTGCAAGTAGATAAATAGGTACCGCTTTATAGCGGGAAGGTAAACGGCGTTTCCGTGTGCGGCACTGGTGCTGACTTGCCAGTTGCAGCTTCATCACGCTGGCCACGTGACCCGTAAGTGTCTTTGGACGGCGCCGGCTCCCGGCCTCTTGAGCGAGATGAGCGCGCAACCCTAGAGTCAGTCATGACTGGCCCATACGGGCAGGGGTACCTTTACTAACAGGGGATCTGAGCTCTTTGTCCGATTTGGGTCTGTCTGTGTCTCTTCAGTTGCCATTTCAGTTTGCTTTTGGGTTCTGGGTGTGAACCTTGGCTGTGAAAATGCTGGCTTCAAACCATAGAATCAAGATTTGCCAAATACCCACTCAGCTGTTGTGGGATTGCTGTTGTAGACATTAACCGTTTTGTAACAAATCTCAGCAGAACTCTTGACCACTCTGCTTCCCATTACTTGTTGGTAACTGCCTTCTCTGCATTCCTAGTTCTGCATGGAAGGTGATCTGAAAAGACCCGCAGCCCGTTGCAAAGTTAACTTTCCCCCCTGTTTTCCCCACACTTGTTCCTAAACTTTCAGTGGCTCCTGGAAAGATTTGAAGTTCAAGGCGTATAACTTTGAGGCACTGGGCATTATGCCTGAAAGTGGACATCTCCACCCACTCCTCAAGGTCCGCAGCCAGTTCCGGCAGATCTTCCTTGAAATGGGGTGTGTACTTCAAAGTCTGCAAAATATTGGGGTATGTGGGTGTGACAAAATGGTGATTGCGGGTGGTGAGGTGTGTTCTACCATGCCATGTGCGTGGTACATGCCCATGAGGCCTGCACAGCTGGCTGTAGATTCAATACACGCCTGTCTTGGGGGTTCTGCCCATCCTTGCTTCTTTTCCTCGGAGGAGGCAGTGCATTGTAGCCCAAGCCTGAAGTCATGGCACAGTCTGCTGGGACTGGGCTAGCATTGTCATTACCTGCCCATGCAGACAACTCCATGTGACGAAGACTGTACTGGCAAAGCACTGGGACGGGAGCAAACCTTCCTCCACTGCTCTTCTAGGCTTGAGTACATCTCGATGTCCCTGCCCTGTGCCCATTGTCATTAGGCAGTCTTCTGTGATATGCCATGTTAATGGGGGTGGGAGATAGACCTATTGCAATTAATGGGTCCAAATTTGTCGTTTTAATTAATTAATTTCACTGGATCAACCCTTGAAAAAAACTTTGCTTAATGGCTGTGTGTTTCCCTTCTCAGTTTTACGGAAATGCCCACCAATAACTTCATTGAGAGCTCCTTCTGGAACTTTGACGCCCTCTTCCAGCCACAGCAGCATCCAGCTCGGGACCAGCATGACACCTTCTTCCTAAAGGGTCAGTCACACTGCTTGGGCCACACACGACTTTTGAATCCGGTTTCATAGCTCGCAAAGAGGCTGTGGATCAGGATCTTGGGACAGCACCCTTTTGGGAGCCAGTTGACCCCAAGTATCTAGCATATGTTCTTTTCTTTCTGTTTGGTGTTTCATATCTTATGGGCTTTAGTAGATTGGCTCTCTATCTTCCTATGGATAGTGGGCAGTCCTCACCTCTCTTTATCTGGGGAGTAGTAAGGGGCTGACTCCAGCCTCTTTCTTTCTCTACTGGACCATCTGGAGCCCCACATGCCCAGTCACTTGCATGTGCCTTCTTCCTTCTAGATCCTGCTGAAGCCATCGACTTCCCCATGGATTACCTGAAGAGGGTAAAGAGGGTTCATTCACAAGGAGGTTACGGCTCTCAGGGGTAAGACTCAGCAGCAATTTTTCTGCAGTTGTTCTAGTGCTGGGCCTGGAAGTGCAAAAAGCAGGGGATGGCTATAAAAAGCATCTCCACACCAGTCAGCTCACATTGGTTTGCAACGCATTGTACAGGAGAACAAATGGTTTGTTGCAGCAGCATATAGCATAGAGTTTTCTCCCATTCCCAAGTCTGGAGGGTGATGGGGGCACTTCTCTCTGTGACACTTGTGCTACAAGTTTAGGTGGAGAGAGTTGATTGGTAGGTGCTGTCATCTGGGCCACAGTGCTCTTGGAAATAGCCATGGGATCCATGTTCATTTGTAAACAGCAGAGGAGTTGAGATTTTGATCAGTAAGGAAGGGAAATCCCAAATCTGTATCATTCTGTTGGGAAATGGGAGACCCTTCAAAAAAGAAACTTGGGTCTAGTAGGCAAACTGTTTCTCTTCATTTTCCAAGCAGTAGTACCCATCACTGGGCCTGTTTCAGCTCCTGTACCTCAGATATTAACTGCTGGAGTCACACCCCACATCTCAATCTTTCCCTCCCAGGTACAGATATGAGTGGAAGCTGGAGGAGGCTCGGAAGAACCTCCTTCGGACGCACACCACATCCGCCAGTGCTCGCATGCTCTATCAGCTGGCGCAGCAGGTAACTATCCAGTAAAAATGCTTTCCTGCCTGAATGTATGAAGGCTGACAAAACAACAGGTCATTGAAGAGTTTCCGTATAAAGTAATGCCAGGCTTCATTTACCTAGGAACTGTCAGGTTGGAGCGGGGACTACAAATTCAATTAATAATAGTAATCTAAAGCTGGTAGGATAAAAATGCTCTGAGGCTGGGATGGTCTGCCTGCTGAGACTGAAGTACTTGAACCAATCCAAAGTGTGGGACTGTGACAACTGCTTCTTCTCCTGCAGGAGAAATTCACCCCTGCCAAATACTTTTCCATCGACCGTGTCTTCAGGAACGAGACACTCGACGCCACCCACCTGGCTGAGTTTCACCAGATTGAAGGGGTGGTAGCCGATTATGGCTTGACACTGGGCGACCTGATGGGTGTCTTGAAAGAGTTTTTCACCAAAATGGGTAAGAACTGTTGAATAAGAGGGAGGATACAGAGTGGACTCCAGTTGGGAAGCAGTCTGGCAGGAAACAGGCTCCTTGGTGGTTGCCTTCTCAGTTTTAGGGACCAGCCTCCCAGCTCCATTCATATCTCTCTCTCTCTCTCTCTCTCTCTCTCTCTGTGGCAGGAATCACCCAGCTGCGCTTCAAACCTGCTTACAATCCTTACACGGAGCCCAGCATGGAGGTGTTCAGCTACCACCAGGGTGAGTGCAGGAAGATAGCCGTGTACTGTTCTGTGGAACTGTGACGCTGTGCCACAGGAGTCCTCCATGTCCCTGGCAGTATCTCTTTGCTCCTGTCCTTGGGAATCAAAGCAAGTTGCCTAGTAGCTGAGCTGAGTAGCAGCCGGCGTTACTGGCAGCAGAGGTCAGGTACACCAAGGAAAGGCTGTAAATCGTGGGTGGCTTTTGAGGGAACAGGGCAAGCAGTCCAAGCACTCTGAACTCTACTTGCATTCTTACCTGTGAGAAATTTCAGTTTTCCACCTTTGCCAAGAAGGCAGCTGCACACTCAGTGCCTTAAGAAGGAATTCCAACTGCCCCTGAATTAGCCTTTCATAATCCCCTTATGACTCATGCAGTTGCAAAAATTCTTCGCCCTGATAATGCGCTATAAATTAGGACACTTTTCCACTGTGTCAACAGTAGTCTGAGAGTATGCCACCTATTCATAGGCCTTTCTATTTCTGGAGGTTCCATGTGTCCTGATATTTAAAGGACGTGCCCCGAACACCATGGCAACCTCCCCAGCCCTTCATTTGAAATGCAAGGCTGATGAATTTGATTTTACTTGAAACCAATACCTTCTTGCCTTTCAGGTTTAATCCTCATAATGCCCCTTTTCTCTATAAAACATGAGAATAATGAAGTCAGCGAATTGATAAAGGCGACAGAGAAGCAAATGCTCCTTAACCCTATTCTGGGAGTGGGGAAGGGCAGGTGAGGCAGGTGAAGAGAACCACTGGAAGAGAGATTGGGTGTGCAAAGCATCCGCTAAAAATGTTTCATTGTTTTTAAAGGTTCTTAAGCTTCGAAGAGCAGGAGCCACAGAACGGAGGCACAACCATAAAGAATGCCTCTATGTCCTCATTTTTGCTAGTATGGTGGTCTTTTATATTAGGGCCCAAACCATTTAGGACTTCAGACATCAACATCATCCTGAATTAGCTCACAAGGCTACGACAACACAGAGTCAGCGTTCACCCTTTGCCCCTTACAGCTGCTGTCACAGCCTCACAAGTTGCAGTCGGCTCCAATAAGTCAGCTGAATTGATTTCCTTGATTTGACCTGGGAAAGTGTTGTGCATGAGCAGCCTGACATAAAAATACCTGCTTTGTGTTGGCGCTTTTCTTTATGGGTGGGAGGTGTCCATATCTCTGACTTGCCCTCTGTCCCAGGGTGTTGTTCAGATTGGACTCCAGCAACCCCAGAGCTTGGGCTCTGCCTAGGCATGTGGCTTTGCTGTTCCACCCTGACCCACTTCACTAGCCTAACAATACAATTTTTCTTCCAGGATTAAAGAAGTGGGTGGAGGTGGGCAATTCAGGAGTCTTCCGCCCAGAGATGCTGCTGCCCATGGGTCTGCCTGATGGGGTGACCGTCATCGCCTGGGGCCTTTCTTTGGAACGGTAAGTGTTTTGGCTGGAATGTGTGCCCAGGTTAAGCAACCTTTTGCTATAGTGTCCTGTCCGGAAGGGCCCCAAGCCTGGGGGCTGCCTGTCTCTCTGTCAGGGACCAAGGACTAATGCATGTTGCACCCTTTTAAGAGTCTTAAGTCAGCAGAGGCTGGAACTAATCTCAATAAAGCTTCAGTCTACAAATTGGCACCTTCTGTCTCCCAAGACTATAAATCTCTGTCGTGCGGCTGCATGACCCAAAGCCATGTGCCTTCCTCGCCTCTGCAGGATTAAACCTCACTCACCTCTTTCACTCAGACAGGCTGTTTTCCCAGATCAAGCTTGTGAGCATCAGCAGTGCTGTAGCCTGTGTGTTGGGCCACAGAAGTTGAGTCAAAGGTGTATCCCATATTTAGAATGCCAAAGGGTATGGGGGAAAGATCCATTTGTTGGGATAGTGTGGACAAACCTGCTCTAGTTGTACTTTGCTGTGACTTTTTGCTATGGTCTAGTACATTAATACTATTTTTCAAATTTTATTTTAATGTCGGTTTCGTGTTGTTGCCTTTTGAAAAATGCTAGGGACGTGAAAGTGGTATGAATGGAGATTCCTCCCTCTTCTCTTTCAGGCCCACCATGATCAGGTATGGCATCAATAATATCCGGGAACTGGTTGGTCACAAAGTCAATCTGCAGATGGTATATGACAGCCCACTCTGCCGCTTGGATGCTTAGTCCACAGAAACTTTCCTCTCTTCAGAGACATCCCTATTTATTAGCACTGCTGCTTGTTGGAAAACTGGGCCTTTCAGGCTTCTATTCTCCACGCTTTTGGTTCCTTTGGGGGAAAGTGCGTGACAAGCCATTCCGCTGTTTTGTATGGACGCTTTAGCCCCTACACCTTTTGGAGAGATCATGGGTGAATGGGTTCTCCCAATTTGTGTGGGGAATAAACTTGTAGCCCATGTTACATTCAGTAAAAGTGTCTCGACCACAAGTCTGTGATTAGAGTAAATAGTCAGGAATCGCTGCAATTCTACTGATATGTAGAGCATAGTTTGTCAGCTTTACCATCATGGCCTGTGGGAAAGTAACAAATTGGAAGGGGAACTTCTGTACCTTTCACCACCCTGCTTATACCAAAATATTGGGGTTTTTTTGGGAGGAGGGGTCTTTCTCCTGCATGGTGGGAACTGGCTTGTAGGCGGGATACGATTGCCACTTCTCCCCACCGCACGAAAATTAAGCATTTTTAAAAAATTCTGCGCCTTGAATTCTTTCCTCGATTTGCCTCCATGTCAACCTTTCCTCTTCTCTTCCATTATAATCATTTTATTGTCCCCTCTTCATCCCCAATCCTTCTGTGTCTCATGCCCTCTTCAAAAGAACCCACAAGCAGGGCTGCTGTTGATCTTAAAATGTTGTTAAGCATTAGAACACCAGAGGACAATGGGTTGGTTTTACGTTGACCCTTTTCCTACCAAAAGCTGTATTTTGGGAAGCCTGGTAGGAGGCAAATGTTTGGAAAGGACTTGGTATATACACATTTCGATATCCTGGTTTCCAGCTGTCTCTACAAGCATGTGTCAGATAAAGCTGGGGAAACTGTAAAGCAAAATCTGGGCTACAGCTACTAAGGGGAAGATCTGCAAAGAAGGAAAGTCCATGTTCTACAGCTTGGGCAGTTCTGCTAAAACTTTGTTCATATTCAAGCTCTCAAAAAGGAGCTGAGACCATGACCAGGCCAAGTGCCAAACGAGGAAGCATAGTCACTACCTCTTATCATATTAACTTCTTGTCATAATGGCAGCATTCAGCAGTTGGAGACAAGAGCCCACAAGGCATACAGGTTTAATTACTTTATTGTACAAAAAAGCCCTTTTGAAATGCCAGAGCTGTGTGAGTAGCCCTTGCCCTCCCCAGACTCTGGATGTTCCACCTCATGGAGTAAAATATCACAAAGCTGAAGCAGTGTTCAACAACCAAGTGGTTCCAGATCCTTGTTTCCTAGGTTCTGCCTGCAGGTACCATTTTAGAGCCCAACCCTTCCACTCGCAGTCTAGACAAAAGCCTCTTAGGCCCAGAGCAGTAGTCTGGTTCATGAAGCTGGTTAGGTGAGTTTCCAATGATTCTCCAGTTCAGTTTTCTTAGGAAGAAAAAGGAGGAGAGGCCACTGGCTATAAAACTAAAAAATAATGATAATCATGGAAGTTGAGTTCATGGCGCCAGAGAAGCAGAGTCCCAGAAGTTGAGGAGCAAGACAGCTGTTGCCTTGAGAAGGCGGGACGACTGCTTCAGAACAGGCCGGTGCTTCTTTACGTGGTCGTCTGCCTCCTTCCTTGGGCTCTTTTTGCTGGTCTGCCATGCCCGTTTTCTCCCATTCAATTCAGGAAGCCAAGAACTCCGCTCTCCTTTTCCGCAAGGCTGTGCTGCCTGCTCTTCCACAGTCACTATGTCACCTCTAATGTTATATGAACCTCCTCTTGGTGGTGGTGTGTTGAGCAGCTGCAAGTGCGGGCCTTGGCCAAGAGGGAGGGCTGGAAACCTGTAAGAGGTGGGGGCTCTGGCTCCTCCTCGTCAGGCTCCTCAGGCGCTGGCCCCAGCAAGCAATCTAGAGGGAGAAATTAAAGGGGGCACATGACACTGCCATCTACAGTCGCTTTATCAAGGAGGGGAAGGTGTTTCAGCCCTGTATTGTCAGCCAAGTTGTATTTCCCTGATTTGCTATCCAAGATCCATTTTTTAAAGGAGGTGCCAGGGAGTAAGCCTGACTCTTTGTGCCTATAGAATCATCCTCTCCCACTAAGCTATATATCCTATTCCCTAAAGGCAAATGTCTCCAAAGCTGCCATCCTGTGTTTTCCTTTCCTGTAGGAAAAGCACCTTAGCATTGCAGGGGAGGAATCTAGAGCACCACTAAGAAAATGGCTGGACTAGTGTTCTGCATTACAACCTTACCTGCTGATTTATTGTAAATGAAATGCAGCTGCTAACAAAACAGGAGCCTACTGTGGAGAGCTACTGCCCTGTTTTCATCTGACTCTGTATCAGATTGGTTTCTGCATTCTCCATGGAGCAGCAGGGTGTAGGGAGAGCATCTCCTCCTCTCCCCCCCCCCCACTCTATTAATCAACTGGAGCACATGGCCTCTAGCAGTAAGTGTGATGGACTGCCACACAATATAAGGGATGCTCTTTGATACAATACAAATATAAGGGCAAGCAGTTTGGAGTTGGTTATGGCAAGTGAATGGAGACAGGCCAACTCAGCTCACATAGATGGTACCATGTAGTGTTGGCTTTAAAGAAGTGTTCAATTATAGAACAAGATAATGCAAAATAGTACTTAAAGTCTGTGCCATGTCTGGCGATAGTGGTGTTACTATGCCCAAGTGGGTTTTTTTCCTTTCTTTTAAGGTGTAGGTCAGATTTATGTTGTGGTGGTATATAGCTATATTACACTGTTTTGTAGCACCTATCTGGTGATGGAAGCACTTCCCATCTCCAAATATTTTCTGCAAGTAAAGGTAAAGGACTCCTGGACAGTTCAGTCCAGTCAAAAGTGACTATGGGGTTTTGGTGCTCATCTCACCAGCATTTGTCCACAGACAGCTTTCCGGGTCAAATAGCCAGCATGACTAAACCGCTTCTGGCACAACGGAACACCGTGACTGAAGCCAGAGCGCACGGAAACGTCATTTACCTTCCCACCACAGCAGTACTTATTTATCTACTTGTACTGGTATGCTTTCAAACGGCTATGTTGGCAGGAGCTGGGACAGAGCAACGGGAGCTCACCCCGTTGCGGAGATTTGAACTGTCGACCACAGCGCCACCTGCGCCCCTACTTTCTGCAAGTAGAAGTGAAGGGCTGTAGGGGAGATGGTCACTAAAGAGCCCTATAGAGATGGGAATTGTGTTACGAAGCTGGTCCCACCAGAAAAAAATTATCGGAATGATCGTAACTCTACTCGCTGACCTTCAGACCTCAGGACTACAACCAGGTTGTGTAGCATTTCACAGGACTGTTGGAAATTTCTATGTGCAAAACATTCTCACATCTTGGAATCAAGCACATGAATCCCATTGAAATAGGTAATGAGTTTTTGGGTTTTTTAACAGTCATAAAAGGCTGGGCTGTGTGTATATTGCACACTACAGGAGCATAGGCAAAATGCAGAGTATGGTACAGAGTTCAAAGTTAGTTTCTTCACAATTTCCATTCAAAAATGTTTCTAGCCCTGGTAGCTAGAAAGCATCTCAACAGTGTCTGCTTGGAAAAACCAAAATGTGTGAATTAATAAGATTTAAAGAAATAAACCTTAGTAATATGGATCATAATCCTGAGAAGGTAGCCCATCTGATCCTAAACTACTTCTGCCTTGTGGGGATATCTTCAGGAGAAGAAAAGACTAAGGAGTAAACCTTACACAAATCCAGAGTGGAGTCCCTAAGACAGCTGGATGGCGCCTTGTATGCTTTCTTCCGGTAATTCCTGCAGCCAAGCTGGTGCCAGACATCTTGCTCTGCTTTCCATTGGACCACATCAGTGATGCTGAGAAGAAGGTCTTGTTGTCTGGGCAGCCCAGGACCTCCATACATACCACCCAGGCTTGTGTCCCGGGGAGGTCACTAGAGCACTGCTAACACAAAGGTATGACTTCACCCCCGGAGGTGCACTCCATTGTCTCTCAAGACAGATGGATGCCAACACAGAGAATAAGGCTCTGTGTGGTTTGTGTCCTGTATTTCTCAGTGTCCATTCTCATGGCTAGTAAACCAGAATACAGTGGTACCTCAGGTTACATACGCTTCAGGTTACATACGCTTCAGGTTACAGACTCCACTAACCCAGAAATAGTGCTTCAGGTTAAGAACTTTGCTTCAGGATGAGAACAGAAATTGTGCTCTGGTGGTACGGCAGCAGCAGGAGGCCCCATTAGCTAAAGTGGTGCTTCAGGTTAAGAACAGTTTCAGGTTAAGTACGAACCTCCAGAACGAATTAAGTACTTAACCCGAGGTACCACTGTAAATTGGGCAAAGCTTGAGAAGTCTGCATAATTATACAGGTCACAGAATTCAGCTTTTCTTGGTGCAGATTGTGGGATTTTTTTTAAAAGCACTGAATGCTACAAAGGGCATAGTTTATTGTACATCACTGCTGCTGTCACCTGCCACACTCACCTGCCAGATCATGTGCCAGGTCTTTGATCAGGTGGCCAACAATGGCATAGGCCACACTCACCACCACCATCACGGCCATGATCATGTAGAGCACAGCTTTGGGCAATGGAACAAGGTCATAGGCAGCTGGCTGGTATTCACTGTAAAGAGGGCTCTCATTGGAGGAAGAGGGTTGAGTAAGTAGTGCCAAGGTCTCGGTGCGATTTGAGGAGCTCATGTTCATTGGCCACGTTTGAGAGGGGAGAGCCATGTTCTGATATTGTGGAGCCTTGTTGCCTGGTGGATAAGTGGCTGCAGGGACAGGGAGAGTCTGAAACACAAGGGGAAGATACTTTGGTTAGTTAGGGGCCCATCATGAGCCCTGTCCTGGTACCATTTGCAAACGACTTATACTTGCTCTTACAGCTAAATTTGCAGTGGTATTGGAGAAGAGGGGGTTGCCTTACCATGCAGGGGGTTTTGTTGGGGGAATGGAGGATGGGTTGGCAGCAGCAGCAAGGAAACCATTGATCTGCACCCCCTGTGGCATTCCCAAAGGGTAACCCCTCCGAAATCAGTTTCTTTGGCTCACTGTTTGTTTGACACCAACCAACAGGTTTCTTAGCATCCTACTGCAGGAACACTGGACTTAAAAAGAGAGTAGTGTTTCCTAGCAGCTTCTGCTTTAAGAGTTTTTGCTATTTTGGGCTCAGTAACAGCTTTGGAAGTGACAATTTAGATTGGGAAAATGGCACTGGGGTCAGGGAGAGTTAAAAACCAATGAGGGTTCTCCAATGTTTGTGCACATGGAATCTTTTCAAAAACAGTGTAAAGT